ACTTTTATTTTTTAATTTTTGTTTATTAATTTTTCATAAGGTAAGAATAATTAATTATCACATTCATCATAAAAATTTTAAATATTTTTTTAATATAAATTATCATTAAATTGATAAAGATTTCATCTTTCCTGCAGACATTGAATAATTTAAATGTATCCTTAGAATTTAAAGTTCTATTCAATCTAAAAAATTTTATTACTTGCTTATCAAATGTATTATTTAATTCTTTCAATTGATAATTATAGCAAATAAATATATCAATATTGTAATATGCTTAATTGTCACAAATTTTTTTTATGTCAATGAGATCTAAGTATCTCATGATAAAAATCATTCATATAATAAACTTCAATAACTTGGTTATTATAAAAAAAATTGTTTAGGAAAACATATCTTCATCATAACTTTTTAACTTTTGAATAAGTGATTTTATTATTGATATTAAGTGTATAGTATTCAATATATCTTTAAATTTTTTTTGCAATACTTGACAAAGTTTGTTGGTAACCGTTTTTATAATTTTTTTTATCAAATATGAAATGAAAGTAATATCAAATGACATTAATGTTTTAAAAACAACTGTAATATCATCTAATTAAAAATAATTAAATTTCATGACAATTATATTTTTAAACCACTGAAACAAATGGAATATGCATACGTAAAAACTACTATATAATTGAAATAATAATTTTATTTAGAGTTTTAAGGCTTTTATAATGTATTAATTTGGAGGAATTAAAAATATATAATCCTTAAATTTTACTAAAAAAAATAAAAAATTAGAGCGCTATGGCTTCTATTAGTTTCTCTATTTCCACCCTTGATTTTATGTAGTAAATGTTTAAGATGTCCGATTTTTTTTTTTTTTTAACACTGAAAGGCAGCATAAAGGTGTAACAAAGGTATACGATCATTGAAGTAGGCGTAAGTGCATCAACCCTGAATTAACTAAATCCGCACGCACAAAGAGGCAGATGAACCATCAAAACAGTTCTGAAATAAACATTTGAATCAATTAGAAGTCCCTGTGTATTTAAAAAATAAATCGCATTATTTATAACTTTTCAATAATATATTTTTCTAGTAATTTTTTTTTGTATAGATGATGATTACATAAGTAGAATAATAGAAATCAAAGCTGAAATTAAATCAATTTATTATATTTTTTTGTGAATTTTTTAAAATGCTCATTGGCACCGAAAAATATCCATTAAAACTATGCGTGTTAGTACAACGTACTCCCACTTCTTGTACTGTAAGAACACATGCAACTATATAAACGAAACTCAAATAAGCAGCCAATTAAGAGTCACAAGGTGATACATATCTAAGCTTCCCTGATGATTAACCCAATTTCAATATCATGGGTTCTTTCTGCACGCCATCTTGCTTAATTAAGTTGGGCAGTTGGCTTCATTGTCATTCCTCATCACGATCATCGTGGAGTGAGAATTGCGTGTGGATATATTATATTGCTGGAAGAGGCTTAAATTTTTTGGGTAAGTCGCAACTTATTACACCTTGTTTTTCTTTTTGAATTTTGTTTATTTTAAAATTTTCTATGATAAAAATCGACATTCAAAAAAAAAAACCGGAATTATCACATATCGTAGCTATAGCTTTGCCCTTCTTAAAAAAAAGAAGAAGAAGAAGAAGAAGAAGCGAGGCTTCCGTTTGGGATGAAGTTGATTAGCGAAAATTCTTTTATTTCTATTTTACTCTATTTTGTATGGTGAAAATTATTTTTCAACTGTTACAAAAATGGCTTTTTACGCTAATGTCCTTACAATCTTTTGTGAGCATTATATTTATTTAATATGAGTGTGGCTTTTTCGTTCTAAAAGATAAGGGGAGCAATGATCATGGTAGGTGGATAGAATTAGGTCTAGGCGGAAAGAAAAAAAGGGCGGTAGAGGTAATTATTCGGGCGAGTGCAAGGCTACTTTTTTATCCGTTTAATTAATCGTCCTTTCTCCAAATGAAATATTCCCTTCTGCCCACTTTGCAAGATAACTTTAAAAAAAATTCACTGATTTAAAATATAAGATTATTTAATAAAAATAAGGTTTTATTAATAGTATTTTTTAATATTATTTTTTAGAAAAGGGAAAATTAAAATGATATTATAGTGTAATGATTAAATGTATAAGGGCAATTTTTTAAATTTATAGTTTTACTTTAAAAAATAGTTTTATAAAATATTATTATTATATTTTATTAGTATATATATTCCATTTCAAATTGTCTTATAATTGAACATAGATGGAAGGTATATTAGTCATTGGACTATAGCTCAAATGGTATGATTTTTCCTCTAGATGCAAGGAATTTTGATATCAAATCCCCAAGTAAGCTGAAAGAGGGGATTAGAAAAAATGTGCTGTATTGTGTGTGATGCATGTATATGGACTGTATTGTGTGTGATGCATGTATATGGAGTCTTCTTTCTCGCGGGGAATTCGATTTGATAGAATAAAAAAGTAAAATATACTCCCTCAACTTAAAAAAATATAAAATATTTTTTAAAAAGTTATATGTTAAAAATGTAAAATATTTAAGTTTTTAAATATGTAATTATTATTTTTTTAAAGTTTTTATATTGAATATATTACTTTATATTTTTTTAGGATGAATGTCATATTAAATATATTTTTCAAAATTAAAATGAATAAAATATAATAGTTATATAAATTAAATGAGAGAGCAATTCAATGTAAAAAAATTTATAAACTTAAAATAAAAGTTCTATATAACTTCAATAACAAGAACATTTAAATTTTCAATGACAAAGCAGTTTTAATATTTGAACTTAACAAGTCAAAAAGATTAAATAAACAAATAAGAATAACAATATTTATTAAATCACAAACCGTTATGTATGAAATCAACAGTTAATTAAAATTCATATATAAATAAAGAAAGATGGGATTGGTTTAAAAATAAGTAATTACTTTATTGGAGACGAGATTTAATTAAAAATATATTATATTTTTTAACGGATAGAATAAATTATAATAAAACTAATTTCCACATGAGTAAGAAAAAAGTTTAAATCCTCTAAAAAATAAAATACCTTACATTTTTTTAAAAAATCACATATCTCTTTCGTTTTCAGTCGCTTATCCTAATTATAAAAAGTGATTTACACACATAACCATATAACTCGTGGAGTATTTCTTTCTTATTGGTTATTAACACCTCTTTTTATGTATATTCTTTTGGGATAATTTTAAATAAGGATCGGTAGTGTGATTTAGTTACTAGTGAATTTTAAAAAATTTTACAATTTTAATTCAATTTAGGGGGATGAAAGTAAATGATTTCAAATGTGAAAAGACCAACAATTACCTTTTGTGATGCATAATTATTAGTTATTAATGTTCTTATTTCACTTATTAATTTATCAATATCACATGCAAATTACATCTATTTGTTAGATAAGTAGTGATATTAGTTGTTAATTTGGTAATTTTACTTGTTAAATAATTTATAACTAATGTTAATGAATTACAAGACTTGTCAGTAATTTACAAATGATGTTAATAAATTAATAAATAAAGTTAATAATTTAATAACTGATATTGCCAATAATGATTGAGCAATTGATACTAAGTTTTATATAATTATTGATATATTAATTCATGTAATTTGCAACTCATATCAGTAATTTAATAAATAAAGTAAAAAAATTAAACAACTAGCGATTATACATAATAAATGAATGGTACTTTAGTATTTTTATAGTTGGCATTAGCTTCACTTTTGTTCCTCTAAACTGAACTGAAATTTCAAAATTTTTTAAGACCCACTAATAATTATGTTACATCTCTTATCCTTATTTAAAATTCTCTCATTTCCTTTTTCTTTCATTGACATTTTTCCTGCTCCTTTGTTAATTTATGGCATTAAATGAAAGTATTTTAATTGGTACACACTCTCTCTCTCTCCTTATATATAAAAAATTTTCTAACATATTTTTTATTCTTAAAATATAAGAGGTTGTTAGTATATTTTTTAATGAATGGACTATTATACTCTTATTAAATTAGAAAGAGAAAAAGATAAGTACTCTTATTAATTTATATTAAAAGAAAAAAATTATTTTTATTTATAATAATTAGGAATAAAATTTAAATATTATTATATTTTTAATTAAATAAATAATTTTTATTAATTTATGTAATTTAATTAAAAATATTTTATATATAATGAGGGATGGAGTATATAGTAATAACATTAATTAAAATTTTTGACATGTCATGATCTCAAAACAACAATGATTTGGAAATAAAGACAGTGGTTTGGTGGTGGAAATGAAAGAAATCGAGTTAACGAGGACCGCCTTTCTTTTTTTTTTTTTTTTTGGGGGGGGGGGGGAGGGGGCTGGTTAGGTTCTGAACTATGCCAAGGCAGCAGCTAATCATCTGCAGTGAACGTTAAAATTAAATTAAAATATAATAAAATTGAAACGTGGAAAACGAATTACAGGCAAGTGGGGACAGTGGAATCTTCGTAGTACAAGCCTGCAAGTTGTCCTCATTGAATATTTGAATCGGAGTGGTGAACGACAGTAATAATTCTCGTTTGTTTGTGAATCCTTCACGTCAACAATTGCTTAGGCGAAGGAAATTCCGACAAGCCTCTTGTTTTATTAGCTGTCAGATGCTTAGCAATCCTCATCCCTAACAGAATTTACAACTTGCTGCACTAAGTTCTGAAGGGAAATTGATCTAAGGTCTTTATAATTTTATTTAATTTTAAATTAAGTTCTTATAATTTATTTTATTTAATTTAAATCTTTATAATTTGATATATTATATATATATATATATATATATTATATCTTGAATGTTAAAATTTATAATGAATAATTGAATTTTACAAAACAAAAATATTCTTAGAGTTTACAAAGAACTTAATTTAATTCTTTTAACCAAAATTAAAAAATAAAATTTGACTTAGTATGTTGTTCATATTTTTATTAATTTTTTGTAATGGAAATTCTATATGTACAAAAAATATTTCGAAAACAAACTAACCAAATTATTTTTGAGTTATAAAAATTATGTAATTAATTCTAAATTAATACAAGCATTTAAGAAAAATATTAAAGTTCTTAATTTTATTTTTTAAGAAAATTTTTAAGGATTTTAACCTTTAGGATTAAAAATAAAAAATTACTTTAAGGTCTCACTCAATATAATTAATTGCTCACTTGTTATTCTCAGGGCTCAGTCATCAATAGATTTGTTAGTAATTAATTGTGTTGAGTGAGACTTATATGTAATTCTCCTTTTAAAAAATTAATTGATCAAGTTATAAGGACTCACTTAAAATAAAATTAAATACAAGGGCCTAAATCAAAATTGATTGAAATTGTAAGGATTTACAGGTATATTTTCTCACCCTTTTAATATTCGTCCCCGCTAGTTTTATAATGTTGAACACCCTTAACTCATTTTCAATAATATTTTTTATAATTTTGCATTCTAAATAATGTATGCCTTTGCTGTTCTAAGTCCCATGTTCACCATAGCACCTATTCTCTCCGTTAAGGCATTTTTAATTTTTTAATGTATAATTATTGCTTTTTTTTAAAGTACCCATATTAATAATAACTTTATATTTATTGTAAAGTGTTTAATAGGAGTAAATATAAAAAGATAAGGTTAGTTAAAAAGTAAGTAACTATTTTATTGGAGTTGAGATTTGATTAAAAATATCTTATATTTTTTAATGGAGGGAGTAACTAACAGTCAATCAATTATAACTAGCACATGTCCGTAGGTTCGAAAGGAAAATACAAAAGTAATTACTACAAATTGGCCATCAAGAAGTTCTTCCTATTATTAGTAGGATTGGATGAACCCATGATCTTGTGAGTTTGGAATTTTGGGCTAAATCCTTAAATTTTATAATTAGCCAGTGGAGCGTGTATTTGAAAATAAGTTGATTTTGATTGAAACATAATTTTAACTAAATCAATACTATAATAATTTTGTCTCAGAAATTATGAAGTTATGAGTTATTAAGTCAAACCTCTCATTTCATATTTAACAACTGATTCAAACACATATGGTTATAAGTAAAATTTTAGATTGATGTAATGAACCCGAAAAAAAAAAAAAACCGCTTGAGTCTTTTTACTTATTATCATGTCTTATGCTACCCATGTAGATAATTAGACATTGACTATTTGACTTGCATGCTCCTTAGTTATAACTAAATCAATTTTAAGACAGAGGTGTTTGTCCAGTTAATTAAAGTAAAAAAATATTTAATAAGTCTGGTTAGCTAGAGAAATCAAATTTTATATATCTTCTGATTTCTTAATCACTTTCCGGTCTCTCCTAGAAGCAGGACTTCTAGATTAAAATCTTACATGTTCTTGGCCTGGCCAGCCGTTACAATATTATCATATTAATTATTTTCCTTATTTTACAGACGTCATTGATAAAACTCAAAGAAAAAAAAAATCGGTTAATACTTAATACCATCATCTATTAATAAAATTAAGGAAAAATATAATTTTGGTTTTCTGCAAGTTACTCAAATTTTGCCATATGTTTTTACACTTTTTTTTTTTGATATTCTAGGTTTATATATTTTTGTTTCTTAGTGTTTTAAATTTTTTTCATGAGCAATGTTACAGGACCTAGCTAGAACACTAAAAAATAAAAATATAGAGAACTAAAATAATAAAAAAATATAAAAATTTATAACAAAACTCAACAAAGTACATAAATTCAAAATTATGTTTTTTCTAAAATTAATCTTGAAATGCTAGAGCTACTTTTTACAAGGCATATGCTTCTCCCCCCTCCCAAGAAAACGAACCCATTTATTAATAACAAAATAGTACACGCATAAATAGTCGAAGCAAAAAGAAATACTCCAAAAAAACTTATACACAACCTACCACACAAAACTCACCGAAAAAGAAAAAACAAAACAAAACAAAACAGCAAAAATACAAACCAGAAAAAATTAACAGGTTCTGAGTCTGTCATCACAAGAACAATAAAAAAGAAGGCCCGCGCTTCTGACGAGGTTTATAGTTGAAGCAGTGGCTCTATTATCAAAAAATTTGACTCTACATCCAAAATGTTTTATGCTTCATATATTATTTAATCTATAAGATAACGTATGTCAAATTTAAAAAAATAAGAAACCTTAATTAATTATTGCTAATTTGCTTAGAAAATTTTTTTGACCGGATAAAGCTCCAAGTTGAAGCAGCCAGCAACGTGCACATATATAGTAAAGAATACGCAACTATTAAAGAAAGAAATGATGCTGTACCGCGCATGCATGTAGGGATTAAAATATTAATCACGTGAGTTTAGTGCTCATGACTCAAAAAAAATGATTATTAACGTTTAGATGTGAAAAAATATTTTAAATAATTGAGCAGTTAAAATATTGACAAATGGATGGCCAAGATAAGCTACTATATATATTAGTCTTATGATGAAGTGAAGAAGTCATGTACACATAGAGAGAAAGAAAGGAACGAGGAAGGAGAAATGAATTTAGGGAAAGAGATGAGTGTCATATTGGTCATTTTGGGTGTCCTTCTTTGTAAGGCTCAAGGCGCTGTTCATCACCATGACTTCGTTGTAAGTTCGTCCATACGCGAGAATAAATATATACTCTGGCAATATTCTTAATTAAAGATTAATTAGGATGAATATTGGGCTAATATATATATATATATATATATACGCTTTTGCTTACTTTGCCTTTTCTAATCTCTAACTAGCTTTGTTGTTGGCCACATCCTAAACAACATTACACACACACACACACACACACATGCTTTTTCTACACTAGCTAGCTAACTATTGCGAACTGTGGATCCGATGCTAATTATTATACTTGAGATGGATTACAGCTGCAAGAGAAGAACTTCACGAAGCTGTGCAGCACGAAGAGCATCTTGACGGTGAATGGTAGCTTTCCAGGGCCTACCATCACTGCTCACAAAGGAGATATCGTTTTTGTCACTGTCCACAATCATGGAACTTACGGTGTTACCATCCACTGGTACTCATTTTTCCACAAGCGAATTATTATTTTACAGCTTCCCAAAACACGGATCCGATTCCTTCATTTCATTTTTGACCTAATCCATTGTAATTATTAGAAATAATTAGTAGTATCAGGAAAATAACAACCGAGTTGTTTATAATTTGATCAGCATGAGTTATATACGTATGAAGCCGCGCAGAATCAACAAACTTGTTTTCAAGCTCAAACTGTTAACAATAACGATCTATCATTTCAAAAACCACCAGAAGAAGGATCTAAATGGATCTCTACTCATCTTTTTAACACTACGTGTTGATCTTCTCTATGTTTTTTAAAATATTTACTTCATATCAGTAAGTACAACGCAACATGAAAATGCAGGCATGGGGTGAGGCAACCAAACGATCCATGGTCAGACGGACCTGAGAACATAACACAGTGCCCTATTCCTCCAGGAACAAACTTCACCCAGAGAATCAATTTAGCATACGAAGAAGGTACACTTTGGTGGCACGCTCACAGTGACTGGACTCGTGCCACTGTTCATGGAGCCATTGTCATCCATCCTCCTCACGGCTCTTCTTATCCTTTCACCGAGCCCTATGGCCAAGAAACCCTCATCATTGGTATGTTCCATTTCTACATTAATTCGTCTTTCAATACTGTATTTAAATCCCTCTCTCAAATTAAACCTTCGTTTAATCACCATTTTGAAAACAATATGTAGGGGAGTGGTACAAGGGAGATGTGATGACAATCATAGACGACGCTTTGGCCACTGGCGGAGAACCAAACACTTCTGACGCTTTCACCATTAATGGCCAACCTGGAGACTTGTATGCTTGTTCTAACGGTAACGTCACGATGTAAAAAACTGATCAACTTGACCAATATTATTAGGCGACCGATCACTCACTAAAAAGTACTTAAAAATTAGATCATTTGAAAATCCTCCAGAAGTAGTGATAAAGATCAATATTGCAGTACATATCATTTCATGTTGTCGGAAATAACACGGGAAAATTTTGCAGGGACGACACACCGATTTTCAGTGGTGCAAGGAAAAACCTATCTCCTTCGCATAATCAACGCCGCCATGAACGAAGCCCATTACTTCGGAATCACAAACCACTCACTCACAGTCGTAGGCATAGACGCAGCCTACGTCAAGCCCTTCACCACCCCTTACCTCGTGATCACCCCAGGCCAAACCATGGACGTTCTGCTCCAGGCTAACCAGACACCAGGTCTCTACTACATCGTCGCCTCGTCCTTCCAAGACGGCTCATCTCCATATGATAACACCACAACCACAGCCATTTTGCAGTACAGTGGAAGCTCCAATGCTTCTCAGCATCCTCCAATGGCGTTCCCAGATTTTCCTGAACATAATGATTCTACTGCTCCTTTTAACTTCACCAACAGGTTGAGGGGTTTGGGGAGCGAGAGTCACCCCATTGAGGTTCCAAAGACAGTGAACAGGATGATTTATATGACGGTCGCTGTGAATGTTCTTGCATGCAATGCTAGTACTTGTGACAGCACCACCAAGCTTGCGGCTAGTTTGAACAACGTGTCGTTTCAGACCCCGAGTATTGATATATTGGACGCTTACTACTGGTACGTACAGTATTTATATACACCGTCCATCGATATTCTCACAGGTCACAGTTTGTGTTGCACTTACGCAAAAACAATAATTCATGGGTTGTTTCATTTTGCAGGAACAAGACAGGAGTTTTCACTAAAGATTTCCCGAAAGAGCCTCCAAACTATATCAACTTCACAGATCCTGACAACAACGCATTTACGACCACGGGAACGAGGGTGATAATGCTGAACTACAATGACTCTGTAGAGGTAGTGTGGCAAGGAACGAATAATTCATTGAATACTGCCGAGAATCACCCAATGCATCTCCATGGATTCAGCTATTATGTTGTGGGACAAGGCTGGGGAGTTTTCAACAATAAGACCGATCCTGAATCCTATAACCTCGTTGATCCTCCAGAAGTTAACACTGTTAGTCTTCCCATGAATGGTTGGCTTGCTATGAGATTTGTCGCCAACAATCCCGGTATGTTTGTTAAATTATCATTCATTTGCATGCCGACGTACTTTCAAAAAAATTACTGCCCGATATTTTACAGGGAATTATCTGAATCCCCAGCGGCTTTTCCATATTAATTTAAACATCTCTACAGACTGCAGCCCAAGAAAATTTCTGAAGAGTCTCTGACCTTTGTTTTTCCCCGGCGTTGGGAAGTAAATAACAAATCATAATTATTTTTAAGGACAAAACTTAAGTGGAGGTTTTATTGGACTTTTTACAGTGTTAAGAAAACTAATTAGTTTCATCAAAAAATTATTAGCAATTTTTTTTTAAAAACTACAAATTTAAAGAATTTGTGGTACTTTTAAGAATTCCTGAAATATTCGGTAGTAACTTTAGTCTTTAAAACAATTGTAATGCAGCTCTTCAAGTTATGACTTACGAATTTTGATTCTCTTTGGATTAGGCCAATAGATAATGGATGTTTATAGAACTCATATAATTAACTTGAGTGCGCATGTACATTGACATATACAGATTTTTTTTATATAAAAAAAAAAATTATGGGTTCCACACGTTACATGGGGTCTACAAACTGAGCATATTTTTCGCATCTCATGAATAATACAGATTCTGTTATATAGATGTATGTGTATTGATTCATTGATGATGATGAATAAGAAAAATGAACAATAAATGAATTAATTTGCAGGGGTATGGTTTATGCATTGTCATTTTGAGAGGCACAGTAGCTGGGGAATGGACACTGTGCTGATTGTGAAGGATGGAAAAACCAACGAAACAAGGATGCTTCCACCTCCTAAGTACATGCCTCCTTGTTCCAAATGAAGACGTTGCATCATTCTACATCAATCGTTCTTTGAGTCATTGGTATAATTATCTAGAAATTGAATAACCCTGTGTTTGATCTCAGGCAAAGAAGAGAATCCTGAGAAATTTGATTCCGTTTGGTTGTTTGAGCAATAATGTGTGATACTAGAAATGGTTCGTGTTCATGTTGTTTACTTTGGTTTGGAACTCCTCACATCATAATTTGGTCTTTTATTCAGTATTTTAGTCTCTAATTCACTTTGTGTATGTTTGATTTTCAGTTTATCAAAAGTTCATTTGGTGAAATTTTATTTGGTTAAAGTCAATTTAATGAAAGTTAATTATTGTAACGAAATTTGTGTTTGGATACATTTTTTTAAAAGTCAGTTTGGTATACTGAAAGTTGTTTGATTTGTAATAGTAAAATGTATTTTTAAATGTACAATTATCAAAAAAGATATTAATTTATGATGATTTATAATTTTTATTATACAAATATAATATATTTAAAATATTTAAAAAATGTGATAAAGATTTTAAATAACATAAATTTTGATATATAATGTTAAAAATTTGTTCTCTAGTTATTTGTATTTTTTAATTTGTAATTTTAAAAAAATATGACAAAGATTTGTAACTTTTATTATACATTAATACTACAAATTAATATGATTAATTATTTAATTTAAAATGTCAAAAACATGATGCCTAATTATTATTATATTTTTAATGAATTAACTATTTTTTAAATAAAAAATAAGAGATTAAATTTAGAGTGGTATGATCAAATAACATTCTATTTTTTAAATTCACTTTTCAAAAACTTTAAATAGTTACGTTTTAAAAATTCAATTTCAGTTACTGTTTGAATGTATACTTATTTGTAAAATATTTCACTCAAATAATTTTTAACTTTTTAAAAGTAAAATTTTACTTTTTAAATGTGGAAAAGTAAAAAAAAGCAAATGGCCCCTTTGTTGCAAATAGCAGTTTTTAGTCTTGTTTTCATATTTTAGCGCGTCTTTAATTGTTTATTTTGTTTTCGTGTTATCTTATATATTGTAGCTCCCTAGACGCTACTAAAAGCAGCTTCACGTAATTAAATATAAAAAGTGGTGATTAGATATGGTGTTATTTTCAGTGTGTTAGTACTTTATTTGTTATTATTTAACGTTAATTAGGTCAGGACGCACAATAGAGTGATGGGGGACCAAAGTTGTTCCCCCATCAAAGCAAACAAGGATTTTAAATCCTTGAAGCAAAGCAAAGCAGCATAACTAGTTGTTGCTCCATATCAAAAGGCACAGACGAGTAAAATGTTGATCCAAAAAAAGATACTAAAATCACTTTTTGTTTTGCCCCTTTTTCAAAAGTCAAAAGTTATGATAGACCCTTTTTCTGTGTAATCAAATGACAAAAATAAAATATTAAATAATTTCATGCCCCAGATAAAAAAGTTTTAATTTAAATAAATTCCATAGTTTGATTTTCATACAATTTTACCGGTCATTGCTCATTCGAGATGCGGAATGAAATGGAAACTAAAATTTAAAAGTGATGAAAAGAATTGCGTTTTAAACATTTTTCTGGTGAAATTCTATTTTAGTTTTAGACTAAAGGATTGTATTGTTGGTGAAGGCGCCATCCCATTCTCATATCTTATAAGAGCATGCCTTCAAATTTCACTGTAATATATAAGGATTTTGTTGATTGGTAATTTGTAAATATTTTCTTCAGTGTTTTTTTAAGTCAGGAAGCCTATTTTAACTTTAATAATCATTTGAAACTCAATTCATTTAAACTTTAATAATATTCATAAAAAATAAATATTTGAAAATCATATTGGATCTCAACTAATTCAGTTGAGTAAAGATTGAAGGAATAACTCTCCCAACAAACATTTAAAGCAACTACTTACTCAGGGGGCAAACTCGGAACTATTCACGATATTAAACTAACATAACCTCCTATCTACTAGCTCAATTAAGCATGACTTGTTGGTTGTGCAGCACACTCTCTCCATTAAAAAATATAAAATATTTTTTGATGAGTTGGATGTTAAAAAATACAATATTTTTTAGTCTTTTGAGATGTAATAATTATCTTTTTTTTACAATGCCTTTATTGATAATAATTTTATATTTATTGTAAGGTATTTAATAAGGGTAAATATAAAAAGATAGGATTAATTTGAAAGTAAGTAATTATTTTATTAAAAAGGTAAAATTTAATTAAAAATGTTTTAACTGAGAGAATATAATTTTTACAAGATCAAACGAATGACTGCCGATCTACATTTTTTAGTGCGTGTTATGATGTATCATAGTAGACACTACTTTAGGCAAAGTAGCAGGATATATATTACATTATTACAAAGAAAACATCGCTTTCGAAAGAGAGTAAAATGGTACCAAAGCGGTGACTATTTTATAATATTTGCAACGAATTGAAGATGAAGAAATAAACCTTTGAGAAATCCGTCAGATCCAAGAACTTGACCTATATGTAACTTGTAAGTATGGCAAAATTTGATTGTCATAAAATTACATATATAAAGCCATGTGTTTTGTTTTCTCTAGCTATACTGCTACCAAGAAGAGCAAGCAAGGATGGGACATCACCTGGAAATTCAAGCTTTGCTAATAGCTCTTCTGGGGTTCATGTTTATTGGCAAGAGCCAAGGCAACGTACATTATTATGATTTCGTGGTAAGTCTTGAAATCCCAACTGTGAGAATTCGTCACAAGTTCATTTTTCATTTTATTTTTGCATGGCGTGATAGTTTATACTTTGTTGTAAGTATATAAATATGTAAGTTCATGTATATGTTGTTGTGAGATTGTTCCCGTAGTTGAAATTTTGAACCGTGAAACTTATTATTATTTGAAATTATAGATACAATATTAGATTTTTTGTATTAAATAAGTTTAAGGATAGTATATGCTCTATAAAAATAGCTTTAGCCATTATATTAAATACTTTATAAATTTATATATTTATGATCTATCTTTTAATTTTTAAATGTGAGATTTCTTTTACATTGTACAGGTAGAAGAAAAGAACTTCACCAAGCTGTGCAGCACAAAGAGCATATTAACAGTGAACGGGAGCTTTCCAGGGCCTACCATTCGCGTTCAGAAAGGCGATACAGCTTTTGTTACCGTCCACAATAAGGGAAGCTATGGGGTCACCATTCACTGGTCAGTAATTTCTCCCCATGAAACGGTCGGAGAGAATAGTAGTAGAGGGCACTAAGACGTCTGAACTAAAATCTTTAAAACTCAAGTTGGTGGGTTATTTTGTTTTATTATATATTAATCATTAAACTTACAACAACAACAACAACAAGCCTTTATCCCACTAGGTGGGGTCGGCTACATGGATTGCAAGACGCCATTGTGCTCTATCATTTATTAAGCTTTTAGAAATATTATTAATTAAGAGATCACGTTCAACAACTTCCAAGAGTGTTCTCTTAGGCCTTCCTCTACCTCTCTTAATCGGACTCAAAGTTATATGTTCCACTCTTCTCACTGGTGCCTCCCTTGGTCTTCTTTGTACATGCCCAAACCATCTCAACCGATTTTCTACCATTTTTTCCTCAATAGGTGCCACCCTCACTTTTTCGCGTATGTGCTCATTTCGAATTTTATCTTTACGTGTATGTCCGCACATCCATCGTAACATTCTCATCTCTGCTACTCCAACTTTATGCTCTTGCTGTCCCGTTAGAGCCCAGCATTCACTACTATATAACATTGCCGGTCTGATAGCAGTACGATAAAACTTTCCTTTAAGTTTATTAGGCACCTTACGGTCACAAATAACTCCTTTAGCTTTTCTCCAATTAAACCACCCAGCTTGAATTCTATGTGAAATATCTCCACTGATTTCGCCATCATTTTGAATAATGGCTCCCAAATATCTAAACTTTTCCACTTGAGGTATAATTTGATCTCCCAATTTCACTTCCAAATTATTTTCGAATAGTCCTTTACCAAATTTACAATATAAATATTCCGTCTTACTTCTACTCAGACGAAAACCTTTCGACTCCAATGTCCTCCTCCATAACTCAAGTTTGCAATTAACCTCTTCTCTTGTCTCTGCTATAAGAACTATATCATCCGCGAAGAGCATACATTTCGGGATTTCCTCTTGAATATGTTCCGTCAAAACATTTAAAATCAAGTTAAACAAATAAGGACTCAGAGATGATCCCTGATGTAGTCCAATCTTTATAGGAAAATCCTTTGTTTGACCACTAGGCGTTCTTATACTAGTTTTTACCCCCTCATACATATCTTGTATGGCTTTAATATAAGCAATCCGTACTCCCTTTTTTTCCAACGCTTTCCAAAGCACTTCTCTTGGTATACGGTCATAAGCTTTTTCCAAATCAATAAAAACCATGTGTAGATCTTTATCTTTACAACGATACTTTTCCATTAATCCCCTTAGTAGATAAATCGCCTCTGTAGTTGATCTACCTGGCATAAAACCAAATTGATTCTCAGAAATACTTGTCTCCAATCTCAACCTGTGCTCAATTACTTTCTCCCACAATTTCATTGTGTGGCTCATGAGTTTAATCCCTCTATAGTTAGTACAATTCTGAATATCTCCTTTATTTTTATAAATAGGAATTAATGTACTTCTCCTCCACTCATCAGGCATTTTCTTGGACCGTAAAATCACATTAAATAACTTAGTTAACCATCTCACCCCTTCTTCACCTAAACATTTCCACGCTTCGATAGATATACAATCAGGTCCGTTGGCTCTACCATTTGCCATTTTCTTAAGAGCTTCCTTTACCTCCTTATCACGTATTTTTCGATAGAATGACAAATTTTGTTCTCCTTCACCAGTTACTAAATCCTCCAAGTTACTAGATGAATCCTCTCCATCATTGAAAAGTTTAGAAAAATAAGTCTCCCATCTATTTTTAATTTCATCATCTGTAACTAAAATTCTTCCCTCTTCATCCTTAATACACCTTACCTGTTCTAGATCTCTTGATTTTCTTTCCCTACTCTTGGCAATCTTATAAATATTTTGCTCTCCTTCCTTCGTCTCAAGGTTCTTATAAAATTCTTCAAAAGCTTTAGAACGAGCTTCATTAATCATTAAACTTAACTTTAAGATAAAGTTACTTACACTTGAACATGCACCGTAAGATAGTGATATGGTTCAGAGGATGTTGACATAACAGGCATGGGGTGAAGGAACCAAGAGACCCATGGTCGGATGGACCAGAGAACATAACACAGTGCCCGATCCCGCCGGGAACGAGTTTCAGACAGAAGTTGGCATTTACGTCAGAAGAAGGAACACTGTGGTGGCATGCTCACAGTAGTTGGTCTCGTGCCACCGTCCATGGCGCCATCCTCATCTTCCCTGTAAATCAAACCTCTTATCCTTTTCCTCAACCTCATGCACAAGAAACTTTCATCATTGGTCAGTACATTATGTCTTTGTTGAATTTCAGCCAACGATTACCTGATAAATAACATAATTACAAGTGATTAATGTGCAGGGGAATGGTACAAGGGGGACGTGCAGCAAATAATAACTTCAGCACTAGCAAGTGGTGGCGAGCCCAACTCATCTGATGCTTACACCATCAACGGTGAACCTGGACATTTCTATAACTGTTCAAGAGGTACCACTTATGCTCATTAATGATCAACTTTTTTAATAAGTCGTTTACTTTCAACTTTGAACTTCACAGTGACTCCCTAATGTGAGAGAGTTATTGTACAGTTTTCCAAATTTATCCTGTTGAGTGGCTTCACTTTTCTTTCCAGGACATTCATAGAGAAATTATAGCTATCCTTTTGACAGCTAATTAAATTATCTAGTTAAAAGAAATGGCAATTTTTAATTCTTCAAATCTCTTTATTGTTCATGTTTGATTTTTTAGATGTATTTTCTGGTGCTTCCTCCGCTCCTTTATGTAAGTAATCTTTTACAATTTATAAGAGCTTTATGGTCCAATATAAGTTATTTATCAAAAATTTGTGAAGTATTAATTATAATTGCATCATTTCGAAAGTTTCCTTGTTTACCATTTTTTAATGAGGGGGGGTAAAATTAAAAGAGCATATATTTTTCAAATTTATGGTATTTATTAGGGATAAATTAATTAAAGATGAAACTAAAGCAAATTAAAGATAATTTTAATGATTTATTTAACACACACACACACACACACACACACACACAAAACATGAATTTCAAATTATATAAGGACTTGTTTACTTGGAAATCAACTATTCTTTATGATTTTTAGTATACTTCTAGCTATTTGCTGAAAATAATTAAGGAGGAGCATTAAATCATTAAAACGGTTTAAAAATAAAATTACTTTTTAAACTTATCCTTATGTAAATAAGAGTGGTTTTGAAAAATAGCTAATCAATTCTATATCTTTTTATCCAAAGTGATTAACACTCACACACAACTATCAATTTATTATGGAAGATTAATAATCTACAAGATCAGAGAGAGGGTACAATGGAACTGAATTCCTATTTATTGATTTGACTAATTGTGCAGAAACAACGTATCATTCATGGGTTGATTACGGGAAGACATATCTATTTAGGATAATAAATTCTGCGATGAACGAAGAACACTTTTTTGGGATTGCACATCACAGGCTTACAGTTGTGGGAATCGACGCGTCCTACACAAAACCCTTCAAGACCAGCTTCATTGTAATCGGCCCAGGACAAACCATGGACGTGCTCGTCACAGCAGATCAGCCCCCTCGTCAGTATTACATTGCTGCTTCTCCCTTTTACGATGGAAATGCACCGTATGATAATTCCACAGCAACAGCAATTCTTCAGTACAAAGCTTACACTTATAATCAATCCAATTCAGATGATAAATCATCATCTTCTTCTAGAGCTATTCCCTTTCCTATGCTTCCTGCTCTGAATGACTCAGGGACAGCGGTTAACTTCAGTAAGAGGTTGAGGAGTTTGGCGAGTAAAGATCATCCGGTAGATGTTCCCAAAAATGTCAGTAGAAGAATTTTTATGACTGTCTCTATAAATGTGTTGCCTTGCGCTAATTCAAATTGCTCCGGCCCTAATGGAACTAGACTCTCTTCAAGCTTCAACAACATAAGCTTTCGGATTCCCAAAATTGATATTCTACAAGCATACTATTGGTATGTCTATGATCTCCATTATCATAACTTAAGACATCATTCTATTTTACTGAGTATATATTAGTTACAACATTCAACTTTATTCACTTTCCACGACACAAGTCCATTCATTTGAACAAACCAAACGTGAATTTTTGAAGATATTGAAATAAGAAGACTTTAATTTTTTTTTTGTTTTCTTTTCTGTGAAATTATTTATGAAAATATATATGCAGGAACATTTCTGGGGTATTCACAGGGGACTTTCCAGATGAACCGCCATTGTATTTTAACTTCACAGGAGACGTGGTAAACACGACAATGATCCCAAGTACAGGAACGAGGGTTATAATGTTGGACTATAAGGAGGTTGTGGAAATAGTGTGGCAAGGTACGAGTCTTGTTGGCCCAGAGAATCACCCTCTGCATCTTCATGGCTTTAGCTTCTACGTGGTCGGAATTGGCCTCGGAAATTTCAACAATGTCTCAGACCCTCTCTCCTACAACTTAATTGATCCTCCACTCGTTAACACCTTTGGTCTTCCCAAAAATGGATGGGTTGCAATGAGATTTGTTGCTGATAATCCAGGCAGGTTCTCTTGACTACGATCTAGCCATGTGTGGTTCAATTGATATATTATCTGATCTATTGAGAATTATTACATTACAATATATTATTTATTGAGATTTAAGGAATAGTTTATATTCATAAGTCATTATTAAGATGATCTCTCTTTTTTTTTTTGTATGTGTATATTGTAAGCTTTTAACATAAATAGACTACAACATTTTTTTTAGGTCACATTTCTTTCTTTTATGAAATATTTCAATTTTTTACTGATAAAGAATAGTCTTGTTTCCTAACGAGGACAGGGGTATGGTACATGCATTGTCATCTTGATAGACACACAAGCTGGGGGATGGACACGGTTGTTATTGTGAGAGATGGAGGTACCCCACAAACAAGCATGCTTCCGCCGCCTAAATATCTGCCTCCTTGTTCTTAAAGAGAGAGAGTTTATTAGGATCTTGTAAGCATTTTCCAAGAAAATATAAGATTTGCATGGCCGGCCGGCTCATCTCAAAGCCTTGATATAGGGATGTGATTACCTTTTTTTTTTTTTTGTGAATGGGGTGTGATTATCTTTGGTTTGCTAATGACTTCAAGTATTTTATTGAATTTCATGTATTTGTTTCACTTTCACTTCTAGAGATATCTAAGTGCCTCGATCGGATTTAATTTACAGCACACATGTTGACATATAACATTCCTAATTTCATATCATCTCCATCTCTCCCTGAATCCTGCAGGTTTGTCTTTATACTTGAGAAACAAATATTAAGTACTGTTTTTATATTTGAGTAGGAATTATGCGAATATCAAATGTGATTCAATATCCAAAACTTCGTTGCATAATCCGAGGAATTAATAAAATCTTGCATTTTATAAATTAAGGGGAGGATTACATACGAGTATATCTAAAAAATTTAGTTTAAGTGATCTTAAAATCATAATTATTTCTAAATGCCTGAGTTATTATAAAATATTGCTGAAATTATTATCCCTTGTTTTAGAGATTGCTATTAAATTTGAGGAAAATTATGAATTTCTAGTAACTTTCCTTACGGACAGTGCACTGTCATCTTTAGACAGGCACAGTAGCTGGGGTATGGACACTGCTGGTGAATATTTTTTGTTACGATACTAGCTAGATATTTGGCTTGCATTGGGCGCTTTCATTGGTGTAGACAGAGTTTTTCACCACAGTTAAAAAATATTTTTTGATGGCAAAAGATAATGCGTGATAGAAATAAATGCAATAATAAATGATATTTTTCACTACAATTATAATAAATAGCATTTACGATCACAAGTTCAAGTTAGACATGTGGCCGTAAACAGTGAAAAGAAGCATTTGTAGTCATAGGTCTATCTTGAACTTATCACCATAAATGGTTAGCATCACCATTTAGGACCACAGTTATTAATTATAACTATGGCCATAAATAACATTTTTTATTATAGTCATAATAAATGATTGTGATCGTAAATGTTTTTTTTTTTAAAATCACTCATAATTATATACATCTCTTATTAATTATAAACCTACATAAATATGTAACAGTAACTCCAAAGATCAGTGCAAATATACCAACTAAATATAATTATGCATTTCTAATACAAAGAAGTATAAACTATTTACTTTAATCTTGCTGATTTTAGAAAGAAATTAGATCAAATGTTATGTATATGTTTTATCTCTTGTTTAGAATATGATTCTAAACTTGTGAAAGTTTTGAATTCAATAACAATATACGTATGAATAACAATTCAAGTCTAAGGTGAGCTTCAAAATATAAAGCATCAAAAGTGGATAGTAACATATTATGAAAATAAAAATAATATAAAAACATATATACCGTTTTTTGTAAGGTAACTTATAAAAAAGAGTATAATATTTTTCTAGAAGATAAATTATATTTAAGATAGGTAGAAGTAGTATATGTAGTATATAGTTTAATTTTTTTACTATATACTCATGAAAAATTATGAAAGGATAAAATTGAAATAAAAGTAATTAATTATATATCATTCTATATAAAGTAACTTATAAAAAAATTATAATATTTTCCTAGAAGATGAATTATATATAAGACTGGTAGAAATATATACATATAGTAGTATAGTAGTATAGTTTAATAATAAATTACCATTAAGTGTTTCTACCTCATGCATTTATTGGCAATTAGCAACTATTGTACTCGTCACATGCATGGCACTTTCACTTCAATTGTTCTATAGGACTCAAAAATTAAATTTTAGGAGCTTTTCTTATGCATTAACTAATAATTGTATACTCACAAGCCCTGGAGGGCGGCCACTCCACCGAGTGTTTTACGGGTGGATCACGATGTGTGTCTCACTTTCCCAGAATTTTCTTGCAATTTGCAAAGTGAAATTCATATAAATAAATTTTTCACTTTGAATAGATGACAAACCACAAACATAAGAGACATATGCTTTACTTAATACTTACAAGTACTGGAGGGCGATCACTCCACTGAGGTTTGGAATGGTACCCTGCAGATTCTTGTTGGACAATAGATTGACAAACATAAATAAAAACCAAGAACCTTGATGAATAATTATGAAACTTCAGATGTAGAAGCTAATAATACACATGAAATAAGCATGATTCGATTTGGCAGGATGTTCATCTTACCGGTCTGTAACATTGTGGAGGTTTGTCAGGTTCTGAGGTACAAAGTCAGCAAAAAATTATTTTCCAAGCGCTAGCAGCCACAGAAGAATGTTATTGTGAAAATGCATCGAGAATATTTCTATCAATGAGTTAGTTTGAGCAGGTGATAACAGGGACACTTACACTACCATCAGATTTTGAGCACGTCCAATTATTAAAGTAACTAAGAAGATATTTAGCATGGTCAAAGTCATTGATATAGACAGTGCTCTTGTAGCGCAAAACCCTCATAGTGTTGTGGCAGCTATAGTAAAACAAAGCACTAGAAAAATAATAACACAATTTCCAATAAAAATTATTATTATATAAAAGCTTTCAACTTCAACTCTATCATCGCTCTTATCATACAACTATTGCCAGCATCGCATCACATGACCATCACAAAGCGAACAAAATGGTTTTAGGCTGAACTTAGCAGCAAATCTCAAAGTTGCGAGGGTTTTTTGATAGAAGCGTGAACAGTGCAAGCATCCATACACCATGGGTCCTAAAAATTTTCACCTGAAATGATAAAACGATAATCCATTAAGAGATTCAGGTTTAGGGAAACCACATTAAAAATGTCGAAAACCCAAGTGCAGAAAGTTTAATGGTAGTGGAAGAAAAAAACAACAATAATCAAGAAAAATAGAATTCAAATTCAAAATATAACCTAAAACGTGTCCTCGGCCAGCTTCATTGATTCCCATGATGCAAGGCTGCAGGGGTGGGGAGAGGGGGGGACTGGTAGGCCACAGCCGCCCTTAACTTTTTTTTTTTTTTTATGAAATGTATGAGTTATATATTTTTAATTTCAATAAGTTGGCATATTATAGAAGTTATGAAATATTAGATAAATTTTTTATTTTAATTCAATATGTAATCTTTTATGTATGTTAGAGTAACTATTTTAATAGTTTGAAGGTATAATTATTACAGGATCTATTTATTTTTAACATGATAACATTATACATGCTCTTAAAGTATTAATATTATTTTATGTTGCTTTTATTTTATATTTAATGAAAAAAATTATGAAGATTATTATTAACAAACTTTGTTAAGCATTACACCAAAAATTTTAAGATATATTGAATGTTATATATTTGATATCTATCATAAAATCACGCATCTAAAAGTTAAGAGATTTGATAAAGATATTCTTCTAGAAAAAATTACTTTTTTAAAAGTAATCAAGCTATTAAAATTTATGATATGAATAGTTTTTACTTTGATATAATTCAATCTTATTGACATAAAGATGCAATTAAGCACTATTAATGTGTTGATATATTTATTTACTATAATTATCAATTGAATGAGTTAAATAGTAAATTTAATAAGTAAGTAATAGAGCAAATTACATTGAATAAAATTTTAAATTCTAATGATGTATTTAAATTATTTAATACTTATGGAAATGATAAAATTTTCACCAATTTAATAATAATTTATATTGAAAAGGAAATTGTTAAAACATTTACTGTAGACAAAATAATTAATGATTTTTAATTTATATCATAAAAAATCGATAAGCAAAACTTAATATATATATATATATATTGTTATATATGTGTAAAATTGAATATAAATATATACGTTGAAATATTTATATTATATTGGTGATACATATATAAATTGATACATATATAAATATAATTTCTTTAATTATCATATGTACTTTTTCATCGGCTCCCCTTAATAAAATTTTTTGACTCTGCCCTTTGTAAGGTTGGGATGCCTATTTGGGAAGAAGGATCACTTCAAAGGCCACTGTGGGTTGAGGGGAGAGGAGCTAAGAGAGATTTGAGGTGGAGTTGAGGAGGTGGCTGGAATTGAAGAGATAAGAGCTAGAGCTATGGGCAAATTATAGAATGATATGCAAGAGCTGGAGTTGAATAGCTAAGGTTATACCCTCAGCTAGACTTTTGGCGACAGGTCCTAGTAAACCTTTCGCCATAGATCACCTAAAGGTCACTTATTTTGGAAAAAAAATTAAAAATGGAATTAGAACAGGTTATAGCCATTTGTCTTCTTAAAAAAAATTATTACAGTAAATATTAATTAATAATTATTGTAATTAATAATTAATTAATTTCAATTATTAATTAATAATTAAAATATATTAAATTCTCCTAATTAGTTCACAATTTAATTTTACTAGTTAATTCAATTTTTAATTAAATTTCATTTAATTAATTTAATATTTTAATTTATGATTTTAATTGATTAAATTAATTTACTTTATCAATAACTTATTTTTTCTAAATTTTTTAATTTAATAATATTTAATATGTTTGAATTGAGACAACTTAAGTTCAATTAAATTACTTAATTAACTATAATTATATATTATTAAATAAATTTTATTAATTGATTAACTAGGTGTCTTAACACATATAATTTAAATTAATTAATTAATTAATCAATTTTTATTATTAAATTAAGTAATTAATTAATCTAAAATGCGCTAAAAGAAGGCCTATGACGACAAGTCTCCATAAAACTTGCCGCCGAAGATCATCTATGGTGACAAGTTTAATGTGGAGCTATCACCATAAGTTCATTTAAAAAAAATAAATAAAAAGAAGGTAGAAAAGACATATGTTGACAGGTTCAATTAGACTTGTTGCCATATGTCTATTTTTTAAAAAATTATTATGGTAATTATTAATTAACAATTGTTGTAACTAATATTTAATTTTTTTCAATTATTAATTAATAATTTAAATATATTAAATTTTTCTAATTAATTCATAATTTAATGTTACCAATTAATTCATTTTTAATTAAAAATTATTCTCAGATTTGAATTAATTTAATTCAATTTATTAATAACTTAATTTTTTAACTAATTTATTTTTTAATTTAATTATATTTAATGTCTCTAAATTCAGAAAAATTAAATTACTTAGTTAACTAATCTTATATAATTAAATTAAATTTATTAATTAAGTGTCTCACACACATTTAATATATATTAAATTAATTAATTAAATAATTAATTTTTATTATTAAATTAAGTAATTAATTAAGATTTTTAAATGAATTTAATGAAATCTATGTTTTTCTATTTATTT